TGACCCCCGATGCCGTGGTTGCTTCCCCCCTCCTTTTCTTCGGAACATACCTCCCTTACCTTGGGGTTGTGGATGTGTCCTTTGCGCCGCTTCCTTATGTCAGCTGCTGACCTGTTTTATGTGTGTGTGTGTGCATGCGCACATGCACATCTACCAATTTTATGCAACAAAGCAGAATGCCGTGTTTGCCCACCAAACAGGTTGTCCCAAAACCAAGTGTTCTAGTCTTCTAGATATGCTAATTGAAAAAAGATTGTTATGTAATTTAAACCACCAGTACTTGGCCCAGCTATCGGCCGCGGAAAAGAATAGAGTAGAAACGTTTCTAGTTGGATGAATTTGGGCGCTCCTGTAGTGGCCGGTACGTTTCCTAACATCGCATAACGTTAACGGGCTCGACTTTGAAGAACAAGTAGTGACCACATGCCTGCAGAGAACCATGAAGAGAAGTAACCCAAAGAATCAGACATATGTGGCAATAAGGTGGAGACCAAAAGACAACGAGCGGCAAGGCAGGGAGACAACTAGGCATTGGACGACAGGCAGCAGCAGAGGGCCATAGGCTGGGCAAACAAGCAACACAGGGCATCGGACCAAAACGTCAACCAACAAGGCACAGAATGATAGACAGCAGTGCGAAGGCTGGAGGGCACAGGGGAGGTGGGAGGGAAGAAGACACTAGTATATAGAACAGGCAAACCAGAAAAAAATATACAAGTCCCCGGAGAAAGGCAAAAACTGAAAAAATAAAAACTGATGATGAGAGATTGTTTCGTCGGAGTTGCACCGACTCATCAGGGGGCTGGACCCTCGACAAAGACCCTCGACAATCTGCAGAATCCTCGTATCGATGGTTTGGTTCATGAACCCTTCGACCCTTGTTGAAGGCAGAATCCGCAGATTGTTCACAAACAGTGAAGCACCGCGCCACAGGTTACTCCAAGGAATGACAGGGTAAGCGGACAACCAGCACACTAACCGAGGAGTGGAGCTGGAAGGCTGGTCAAGCATGACAGCATTGACAGTGACAGCGCACATCACACACCGCAACTGCCGCTGCACACACTGTACTCCAAGACTCGCAATGAAGAATGAAGAAGCATACAGTTTGCGGCGGCTTGGGGTATACCCAAGCGGACTGGATTCGAGTGATACTGGAT